CCTTTTCCATCCGGTTATCAGGGTAGGAGAACTGTAAGCCTGGTGATATAGGGGTATCTTCAGGCGGGGCATCTCCTTCCTCACTCTGCTTGGGTTCTTTGAGGTCAGGACTAGAACCCCCATGCCCTGACACCGGTTGACACTCCCCTTCCTCAGATGTGTGTGGAAGGCCCTACAGAATGTACTGGAAGGATTGCCAGCCACGTGCCTGTCTTCCAGGCTGAGTGGACTGGGCTTGGGGGGAGCTGAGGGTGCCTATATCCCTATGCGGAATAACCTGCCTTCCTCATCCTCTGCTGTTTTATCTTCAAGAGCACATTCCAGACACCAGTGCTTACCTCTCTTTGGTATGGAGGTGAAATCGACGTATCATACAGCCAGCCAATGTGTAGTGAATAATTCACTCTCATTCAGCCCTTTCACAGTGTGTGCGACCTCACCTCAGTCAACTATTGCTTATGATCCCCGTGCAGTCCCTCTCTCACCCCAACATTATCAACACCCCAAAAGGAAACCCCATACCCATTAAGCCATCGCTCCCCATTCCCCCTCCCCCTCTGCCTCTGGTAAGCACCAATCTGTGTTCTGTCCATATGGATTTACCTGTTTTGGACCTTGAATATAAGAGATCATTCTATATGTGACCCTTTGTGTCTTGCCGCTCTCATCGAGCATAACCTTCTCAGGCTTCATCCCCATCACAACACGTGTGTACGTCGTTATCTTCCATGGCCAGATAATATTTCACGGAGCATACAAACTGCCATATTGCTTATTTATTCATCTTTTGATGGACATTTGGGCTGTTTCCACCTTCTGGCTGTTGTGAATGTTGCTGCAGTGAACATGTGTGCTCATGTACTTGAGTCCTGGTGTTTAATTCTTTGGGGGCATATATCTAAAAGTAGAAATATGGGGTCATATGATAATTCTGCTTAATTTTTTAAGGAAGGTATATACATTTCTTTTTTAAATAGCAATTCTACTCTGGTACTTACCCGCATATGGAAAGACAGGGGAAGTGGATGAGGAGTCAGGAGATCTGGGTTCTTTTCCTGGCTTTGCCACTAACCAGCTGGGTGACCTTGAACAAATCACTTCCCCTTTCTGGGCTCTTGTTTCCTCATTTGAAAAGCAAGGGGATTGCATAAAGCTAAATGGTCTTTCAATTCTCTTTGTCTTTTAAGATTTTATCCTGGGATCGTGCCCCACATCAGGCTCCTTGCCCCGCACAGAGCCTGCTTCTCCCTCTTCCTCCACTGCTCCCCCTGCTTGTGCTTTCTCTCTCTGTTCAAATAAATAAATAAAATCCTTAAAAAAAAGATTTTATTGGAAAAATTGGGTTCTAGAGAGAAGAGAGAGAGAGAATTGTCAAACAGCTAGACCTGATTATCTCTATGTGCATTCTCTACCGTGTTTTTAAATTGTGAGTTGAAAGCATCCCAAGTAATGGGGCTTTTTCCCCCTGCCTGTGTGTTTCTAGTTAATGAATAGCTTCGGGCTTCCTATTCCCATGAGGATTCCCAGAACAAGATTCCTTCTTTTGCCCATCGCTTCCTACTGCTTGGCAGCTCCTGAACAAAACATGGCGGCCACGAAGCCAAGACTGGTGCCATCCCATCCCCACTGTCCTCTCTGCAGGAATGCTGAGCCTCACCCCATGCTAGTTCTCACAGCGCTCAGGTGGTCAGCTGGATCACCCAAGTCTGGTCTTGGGAGCTGTCGGGTCCAAGGAGAGGAGTCAGCAGACTCTTGCTCAATCCATGTCAAGACCATCTTAGAAGGTTAGGAAGAACAACCAAAGGCCTCCTTTGATACTGTCCAGCCAGGAGCTTTTCCTCCTTGGGCTATTTCTACTCTCCTGAGCCTCTTCCATCTGATTGATTCGCTGGCCCGAGTGCACTGCCTAGGGAGGGAGGGAGTTTTTCCTCCACTAATTGGCAGCCTCCACAGGATGCCATCCAGGTCCAAAGTATGCGTTCTCCTGAGCTGCCTGCTGGCTTTCTGGGGGGAGCACAAGGTTTCAAAAAAAAAAAAAAAAAAAACAAAACAAAAACAAAAACAAAAAAAATGTGATCCCAGTGGTTTATTTCATTCGGTCAGCCGTTTATTTGCTCATTTCCCATCCATCCATCCCATATTTTTGAGTGCCTGCTGTGTTTTTGGCACCATGTTAGAGTCTAGGAATAAACAAGATGAGGTGCCTTCCCTATGGAGCCTTCCTTTTTTAATAGAAGATACAGATGTGTGGCTTTTGAAATGAATACAATGAGTACAAAGTGACAAGTGCTCGGGCGTCTGGGTGGCTCAGTCAGTTAGGCATCGGACTCTTGATCTCAGCTCAGGTCATGATCTCAGGGTCATGAAGTTGAGCCCCTCTTCAAGCTCCATGTTCAGCAGGAGTCTGCTTGAGATTCTTTCTCCCTCCTTCCTCTGCCCCTCTCATCCCCGCTCACGAAATCTCTCTCTCCCTCCCCAAAATAAATAAATCCTTAAAACATAAGTGACAAGTGGCAAGTGCTATATAATGGGGAGGGGGGCGTAAATGGCGTTCAGAAGTACAGACAGGAGACACACAAAGTCATCCTTGGCAAGTCCTCACAAGAAGGCAGATTCAAAGCGTGTTCTAGACAGAAGCTAATCTGCGCAGAAGCCACAGAGCAGGACGCATGAAGGGACCTGACAGGTGACCAGTATTGGCTAGAACGCAGAACACAGAGGGAGGGTGATGAGAGGCAAGATTGCAGAAGGGGCTGTGCTTGGAGGACCACTGAGCCACGTCGAAGGATTCAGCTCTGGTGATGGTGGAGAGTGAGTCAGACGGGTGAGAGCAGCAGTGGGGTGAGCACTCAGGAAGCTGTTGTGGTCCCTGTCATGAAACAGCGGTGACCAGAACCAAGGTGGAAGCAGTGGGAAGGCAAGTGGATGGACAGTGGGGCTTGAGGCTGTCGGGCCCAGCTTCCAGGAAAGAACCTGCTGCTGTGGGAATCGAATCCCTTAGCTGGCCTCATGTCCCGGCCCAGGGGAGGTCCCTCATCCTCCAGGTCTCCAGAAGGATAACTTTGTCTCCCAGGATCCAGCCCAGGAGCCCTGCTCCTTTTGCTGACAGCCTCAGGCAGGAGAGGTCGGAGATGGTGGTGGGGTACAGGGAAGAGAAGAATTCTGCGGGAACCTCCTCCCTCCTTCTTCTTGGACTCGGCCCCAGGACAGAACAGCACACTGCACCCAGGTTGAAGACCCCACGTTTCAAACCCCATGGCAGTTTCAAAGCACTGCATCTCAGTGCCTTCCCTGGGCCACTCTCTTCTGTATTCAAGAATAGTTAACACACAGGGTTGTATTAGTTTCAGGTGTGCAATATAGCGATTCAACAGTTCTATACATTCCTCAGTGCTCGTCAGAATAAGTGTACTCTTAACCCCTTAATGTGTTTCATTCATCCCCCACCCACCTCCCACAGGCCATTCTCTCTCAGGAGCTAGGGAAAAGGGTTTCTCTCTTAAAGACTCATTCTAGGGCCCTTGGACAGTTGGGGTTTTGTTTGTTTTTTAATGAACATATAATGAGTATTTGTTTCAGGGGTACAGGTCTGTGATTCATCAGTCTCACACGATTCACTGCACTCACCATAGCACATACCTTCACCAATGTCCACCCCCCAGCCACCCATCCCTCCCACCTCCCTCCCCTCCAACAACCCTCAGTTTGTTTCCTGAGATTAGGACTCTCTTACGGTTTGTCTCCCTCTCTGGTTTCCTCTTGTTTCATTTTTTCCCTCCCTTCCCCTATGATCCTCTATCTTGTTTCTCAAATTCCTCATATCAGTGAGATCACATGATAATTGCCTTTCTCTGACTGACTTATTTCACTCAGTATAATACCCTCTAGTTCCAGCCACTTCCTTGCAAATGGCAAGATTTCAGGGTTTTTGATGGCTGCATAGTATTCCATCGTGTGTGTGTGTGTGTGTGTGTGTGTGTGTGTGTGTGTGTGTGTATACATACTACATCTTTATCCATTCATCTGCTGATGGACATCTAGGCTCTTTCCATAGTTGGGCTATTGTGGACATTGCTGCTGTAAACATTCTGGTGCACGTGCCCTTTCAGATCACCACATTTGTATGTTTAGGATAAATGCCCAGTAATGGGATTGCTGGGTTGTAAGGTAGCTCTATTCTCAACTTCTTGAGGAACCTCCATACTGTTTTCCAGAGTGGCTGTACCATCTTGCATTCCCACCAACAGTGTAGGAGGGTGCCCCTTCCTCAGGTGTTGGCGAGGATGTGGACAATTGTTCTAATCAGACATGATTTGTTGTGCTTGAGAATGTGGACATTGGGCCGTCGTAATATTGCTCATCCTACCAACCCACTGGAATCCCCTTTTCCTGGGTCGTAGTCTCAGCATTGCCGTTATCTCTAAAGGGACAGCATCGGGACTGCCATACCTTTGCTGCACAAAATGTCTACAGAAATCCATTTTTTATTAAAAAAAAAAAAAGCCCTTTGAGCAACGAGCTTTCACCTAACTCCACACAGCACATAGGGTTCAGAGAAGCTATGAGACTGGTGTGTTTCTTACTGGCCCAGCGCATGGCTGCCTCTAGGTGCTGGACCAGTGGGACCATGTTTGTTTTCATGACTTTTCCATGAAGAGTTGCCCTTCCTTCTAGAACAGTGATTCTCCACTGGGAGTGGTTTTGTCCTCTAGGGGACAGTTGGCAGTGTCTAGAGACGTTCTGATTAGGGGCAGGAAAGAGCTGTGCTGGCATCTAGAGGGTAAAAGCCAGGGAGCCTACTAAGCACCCAGCAATACCCAGCATCCTTCCCTACACAAAGAACTGTGGATCCGCAATGTCAATTGCACAAGTTTATAAGAAACCCTATTTAAGAACATCAGTCTGTGACCAAACCCTTGAGTTCTTCAGGCCCTATAGGATTGCTAGAACCAACTGCAAGTTCAGGAAAAACTCACTTGGCATTGTATTTCTTTCCACAGCTGAGCTCTGTCCGGCAGGCCCAGTTAGAGCGGCTGGAGGCGGCAAGACCCCGCAGGCCGGGGAGCAGGGAGCGGGGCCCCGTGCTGAGGATGGCCAGGCAGCAGCCGCCGCCCTGGGTCCACGCAGCCGTCCTGCTCTGCCTCCTCTGCCTCAGTGGGGCCATCGAGATTCCTATGGATCGTGAGTCCCACTCCATCCTCTCCTTTGATTCTCCTGATTTGGGGCAGAGGGTTGGATGGGAGGAATAGGTCAGGGGGGCGTTAAGCCCAGCTTTCGGAAAGGCTGGAGAGAGGGGAAGTGGTAGCTTCTGGAGGCAGAGCTGGGTTTCCCTCCAAAGCATGGAGGCAGGCAGGCTCGTGTTCGGGAATGTGAAATGAATTTTATAGCACAATCTCCAAAAACTGTGTCTGAGCTGATGCTTGGGCTGTCTGGAGCCTGCTAAGCGGGACCAGAGGTGGTGGAGTCTGCAAGTCTGTGTGTCTCTTGGGAGTCCTTCCCTCCACTCCCCTCCCACGGCCCTCTGCAGTCCTGACTTGCCCGTCAACAGGGAGTTTCCAAGGACCAAGTGTAGTGGACACTTATCTGCCTTTCTATATCTGAGCTAGACCCTTGGGCTATCTTGGCAGGTCTAAATCAGGATGGATGGCATGGGGACAGTAGGGAAAGGAATTATTTTGCACAAGACAGGGGCTAAGTGAAACTTTAAATCAGAGCTCCGTTATAATACCATTGTGGGAAAACCAGGTGCTGATTTTAGCTCTCCCATGGCAAAGTTGGGAAGTAAAACCCGTGTCCTTCTGTGTCCCAGGGTGGGGGCATTATTTGGCCACCAGAATCATCAGACAAGGGGCTCGGGATGGTGCTCGAATAGCCCCGTCTCTAGCTGCTGTGTCTGTTGTTACATTCAGAAGGGGCCCGGGGACTGGCAGCCCCGGTCCCTGGCCCCGCTTTTAGATGTGTACTACCTTTGCTGTAATTCCGGCTCTTCCATCAGAATGTCTTGGCATTCCAGTGCTCTGATGTGGGCACACCACCTCTGTTGCCTGTTCCCTGCTTCCAGAAATAAATGGGGCCCACATGATGCCAGCCCTGACTTGGGCTCTGTCCAGGTGACAGATGTCTGGGGAGGGTAGGGAGAGCAATGCAGCCTCCAAGGAGTGCCCACTGAGCTCTCCAAAGCCAGGCCCTGGGGCCTGGACTTAGCACAGCTTGGAGAAGAATTGCACGTACTTCAGCCCCCTCCCACCCAAACTTACCGATAAGAGCCGCTAGAGGAATGGGCACTTCCGGGTAAGAGAAGACCAACAGAAACTGTAAGCTGGACCCAGAACCAAGATGGGCAAGGCCCCTGCTGCTCTCTCAGTAGCCCCAAGTGTGTGTGTGTGTGTGTGTGTGTGTGTGTGTGTGTGTATGTGTGTGTATGCATGTTTGTGTGTGTGTGTGTGTGTGTATTCAGTGTGGGGGGGAGGGTGTCGTGAAAAGAACGGTTCCCATGGAGACCATCTGCCCTGCTAACTCAAGGAAGAGTGTCTCATTAACAATCCCAGGCAGGCAATCTAATAAGGAGAACGATAAGGCCATGTCCCTGGAGAGGAGAGGGGTGCTGAGGAAATTGGGTTATCAAGGAGGTGCTGAAGGCTCATTTCTCTTCTGCTGCTTCTCCTCATTCATTCACCTGCCACTGTGACCCCTGGGGCTAGTGGGTGAGGAGTTCCTCCAAGATGAACTTACAAAGAGACAGCTTTGACGTCTGTGTTAGGAATCTGGATTTCTAAAGCTCTGCTCGAGCTGTGGGCAGGTGACCCAGCTACAAGTGTCTCCAAGGGACCCTATGGGGGGCAGAGACCCCCCTCGTGCCATCTCCCCATCTCCTCAGTGTCTGTGAGGAGGGAGGGCCCGGGGAGTTCTGGAATTATCTTCTGGGAAATGGAGACCCTTCCTTGCTCTGGGTCACACAACGAAGGGGTACTAGATTCACGAATACAACCCAGGTCTTTGGGCATCCCACCTGGTTGGCACTCGACACACCTCACCCTGACCTCTGGTAATCCCACCTTCTTTTAGTTCTTGGAGCTCACCAGAGTAGCAGCTGCTGTGCACCCGCCCGAGAGCTAAGGGCTTCTACAAGTGCATCTCCTGTGACTCTCACAGCGAGTCCTTTGCTGACATTAGGAAGCTGGGGTGCCATTCTCTCCAGCCCCTAAGTGGCAGGCCCAGCGCATGACCACGGCCCCTATCTGAATGAAGAGGGGAAGCCTTTTGTGACACGATGTCTGGTCCCCGGGAGTGTCACAGCAGGAAACCCATGAGGCCTTCCCAGAGCAAGTCTATCTTGCAGGCACGGTGTCCATAACAACTTCTCCAGAACAGGTCTGCCAAAGCCTAAGGCAAGACGAGAGAAGGCCAGCCCTTCAGAGGAGACCCAGTGGCCCCGGGAAGAGGTCCTTTTCAGCCAGCTTTTCCCCTCCTGCTGGGTCAAGCATGACAGGCACCCCCACACACACACACCAAGTTACCTGAGCCCATCCTTCCCTCTTACCCTGTGCTGAGGCCCCAGGGGCTGGGTGGGGAAAGATCACACATTCGTTTTCCTCCCCATCCCCCACCACCTCCCAGGGTTACTCAGGTCTTCACTGATAGACAACCTATGTAAGTTGAAGGTGTACAGCCTGATGATTTGCTACACGTATATTATGAAATGACTGCCACATGGGTTAGTTTACCCCCCAACCTCTCGCACAAGTACCTTGTGTGTGTGTGTAGCCATAACTCGGAAGATCGACTCTTGAAACAACACTCGTGTGTGATACAGTCTGCTAATTATAGTTGCATGTGCATTCGGCCCCGAGAACATTTCCATCTCATAGCTGAACATTTGGACCCCTCACCGGCATCTCCCCGGCCCCTGACAACCATTCCACTCCATTTCTTTGAGTTTGACTTCTTTAGATTCTACATGGAGTGAGAACATACCAGAGCTTTCTCTGACTTAATTTCACTTAGCATAAGATCCTCAAGGCCTATCCATGTTGTCACAAAAGGCCACAGAGAGACCTACATGCTATGTTCCCTGAAGGGGTTATCCGCGCTCGCCCAGGTGTGGGGCACGTGAAGATCAGGCTGTCGTAATTTCTCTGCGTGTTGCCTGGGAGTGGCTGAGGGGGCTCAGGCCGGAGGCTGCCATTCCGCCCACCTGCCCCTTTCAAGAGGCCATATTTGTGCCTTGAGGACCAGGGCATTGGTTCTGCTCTGGGGAGTTGGGGCCCAGCGAGCTTCCTGGAACAGCCCTGGACTGCGACACAATCCCTCATTGAAACACTGGCCTCCAGCCCCTGACGTTCTGCCAACAGAGTCACACGCACCCGCCTCCCCCACCTCACCCACCCCAAGGAGAACATCGTGACCTTTGAAGAAAGCAAAGGGTCACCTCATCAACAAGAGTGGGTTTGCCAAAAAGTGAGTCTGCTGGAAGCTTGCCCCTCCATCCCTCTCCCCACGTTGAGGGACTTGGCATTTTTCTCCTAGGAACCCATAGAGGAGACAGTGGGGTGGGAGACATTTCGTCCTCACTGTCATCCCAAAGGCTGCTGCAGGATGACCTCAACACGCGCACACGCGCACACACACGCACATTCACACACTCTCCATCCTCCAGGGACAGGTGCCAGGGGCTGGTGCCAGGGAGAGAGAAGAAGTGCGGGGATAAAGAAACCTTGCAGACTGGGCAGGCCCCTGCCTTACACCCTACAGAGCTCATTGGAAGATTTTTCCCTCCCCCTTGGAAGTCAAAAGAGCAGACCCATTTTCCACTTGACATGACCACTTCGTAGGTGGAGAGAAGGGCAGGTGGCATGACATGGAATTTGGGGGGTGTTGCAGGACTAGGTAGGTTGCCCTTATCCCCAGGTGGGCAGGCCTCACTGTCATCTCCCTGTGCTGGCTTGTCTTCTGGGTTGGTTTTGTCTCTGTAATAAATTCCTTGGTGACACAATGGTGGTTCCAGATGTCATGACCTCTTTAGGGAAGTAGACTCTCAAGAGGCCCCTGGCCTGGTTTCATTGTGGGGCTGGGGACAGCGTCCATCCAGCTCCGGGAGTCCTCACTCCCCCATGGTCTCCCCCTTATTTACCTTATTCACGTCCGGAATGTTAAGGAGAGTGTGCTGGGCACCCACCTAGCCAACTGACCTCTCTGGCCAAGGATAGATTTGTAAGAAGAGCTCTGGACCAGACTAAGGTGGGCTGGTTCTCATTCCATTTCTGCAGGAAATGTCCTATTGACCTTTAACTGAGTGACTTCCCATCTGAGAATCTGAGATTCCCTGGATAATATCTAGGGCTCTTTCCATTGAGCCAGCCCTTGATTTTATAAAAGAGAGGCTTGAGGGTCATGTGGGCAAAGCAGAGCTTTTGCCAGGGTCAAGACAGAGCCCCCCACTGTGTGTGGGGACCCGAGAGCCATCCGCTGTATCTTCACATGAAGAAACCGCAGGCCTGGGCTAGTGGTCCCAGGCAGTAGGTCAAGTGTCAGCCCTGCTTCTCCTAAAAATGGCCCCTTCTCCCCACCTGTCCTCCATGCTCCAATACACTAGCTTTCCAGAAGTAGCCATTCTTGGGCCACTGGCAGGAAAACCTTATAAGGGTGAGGATGCCACTGTGGGGAACTCCAGGGAGCATGTGTTCAGAAACCCCAGATTTCCCCTTTACCCCGGGACTTTTCATTTCTTTTCATTTCCTGCCAAGGCTGCACCCAGGCAAATGGTACAGATAAAATTACTTTTCAGTGCCCCAGCAGACCACGCAACCCTGACCCACTTGAAAGGATTATTCTGGACCTTTTAGTGTGTCTTACTCAAGACTTTCACTTACCGACAGTGCACATAGCAGGGGACCCCTTCCTGCCACACTCCGCCTCTCCTCCCTGATGTCTGTCTTCTCCCTCGGGACCCTTCTGACACCTCTTGGTCCTGCCTTAACTCTGCCTTCTCCACACCGCCCCTCTCTGGGCCCCTAACACTTCTCTTCCACATCTCACTGTGGCTGAGTCAGGAAGCTTCGAGGTCACCTGGGCTCACCCACAGCCTCTGCTTTCCCCTGGAAAAGTCTGCCCGCGACACCAGCGCGTCCCAGACCTCAGCACTGGCGTGGAAGAAGCTTTGCATATGACTTCATGCTAGAGCCATTAAGAAAAGGCCTCTTACAAAGTGACAGAAACACAGTCTCTTTTCTGCACATTTTACACTGAGGCCTTCTCCCCCAGAAAGTTACCATCAGAAGTCTTGCTCTTGGGGGTGCTTGGGTGGCTCAGTGTGTTAAGCCTCTGCCTTCGGCTCAGGTCATGATCTCAGGGTCCTGGGATCGAGTCCCGCATCAGGCTCTCTGCTCAGTGAGAAGCCTGCTTCCCTTCCTCTCTCTGTGCCTGCCTCTCTGCCTACTTGTGATCTCTCTCTCTGTCAAATAAATAAATAAAATCTTTAAAAAAAAAAAAAAAGAAAGTCTTGCTGTTGGAAGCATGGTGCCCTGACCCCCAGCATTGGCACCACCTGGTTGCTGGTCAGAAACACAGTGTCTGCTCAGTCAGAACCTGCATTCTATCCAGACCCGCCCCCCAGGTGGTTCACGTACCTGGCAGAGTCTGAGAAGCCCGACCTCAAATATGCACTGACTTGTACACAGGCCCATGCATGCCACAGGTGAGGGCTGGGCGAGACTTGTGCTACCTACCTCCTGATCCCTTCCGTAAAAGTGCCGGAAGGAGTGGCAGGCTCCACTTCATCCCTGCACTCGTTTGGAAGAGGGATTTCCGTATGGCCATGTACTTCTGCTGTGAGCAGAGCCACAGCGATTCATCGGTCCCTAGAATTTTCCAAAGCGTAGGCAAGGAGGTGCTTTCGTGTGTGACAGAGAGGAAGGCGCGGTGGGAGGAGTGAGGCCTGTGGACCATGTGGGGCCTTTGGGGCTTTGCTCTGGAGCCCTGGTTCCGATCTGCTGCTGCCCGGGCTTCTCATCCCCACCCCGCTGGCCCGGGAGCCCCCTTCCCTCAGCGGCGTCTAGAGCCCGGCCTCTTTCAAGCAGTAGTCATTTGTGATAACCTATAACCGATGTCTTCTTTTCTCCCCTCGCAATGCTAACCCACCGGAACTAACAGCAAGCATTCAGAATGAGCGTAAGTCCCCGCGCGCCTCTCTGCACTCGTGCCTCTGGGAGGTAGGAGGGCAGCAAGGAGGGGCGGGAGAAGGCCAAGTGAGGAGATACAGGGGGATTAACCACCTTTCCACCCTGCCTTTGGGGGCTTCTTGACACCAGAGCCCCTGCAGTGCGGGCCCGGGAAGGGGAGCGGCCAGCCGGAGCCCCCCATTGCTGGGAATGGCAGAGGAGCAGGGGGATAAGAAGGGCCGCTGCTCCCCCTGCTCCGGTGGCCGGCACAGGAGCTCCACGGAGAACACTGGAGGCAGGGCCGAGAGTGAGATGCGCTGGCTCTTTGGCGGGCAGACAAGTCCCTGGGGACTGGGCCTGGGAGCTCCAGCCTCCCCACGCTTTGGCCATCTGTGGACCCTCCAGGGCTCAGAACCATCCCGGCCACCGGGCTCTGGAACGCTGGCTGCTTTGTGGTCTTAATTCATTCAGTAAATGTATTTCAAGAAGTCTCATAGACTAAGCGATGCACCAAGTGTTGGAACACAAGAGTGGGTAAAACAGAACTTTCTCATAGAGATTCCATGAGATCTGAAGAGATTCTTCTTAGGCTCAGTCCTTGACATAACCCCCTTTCCCCTGGCCCCGTTTAAGGAGCTGGGCCCCTGGCACAGTGTACTGACCGCCCCCCCCCCCCCCGCTTGCCGGCTTGTGCTGTGGCTCCAGAAGCTCTTCGGTTCAGCCGCTCCCCAAGCCAGGCCCCCGAAGCCCTGAGCGCCCCTGTTTGTGCTGTTGCAGTATCCCAGCCCCCAACCATCACCAAGCAGTCTGTGAAGGACCACATCGTGGATCCCCGCGACAACATCCTGATCGAGTGTGAAGCCAAGGGGAACCCTGCCCCCAGGTGAGCGCACTGGCAGGTAAATCCACGCCCCCCCCAAGAGGTATTGAAACCATACCCTGGCCCTGAGAGTAGCTGAAGCAGTGGATAAATTAAAATTATCCAGAAGACACCTGGAAGATACCTACCTGGTGGAAAGTACAATTCAGAGAACTAAGAAATGTAGCTGATGAGGAGGCTGGGATCCAGAAATCCTCAGTGGCTTAAAGTCACACCCGGAAGTCAGGACGAGATACCAAGTTTTCTGACTGTCGGTGTCACACATTCCTTCCACTGCCTTACCTCCCCAACTTTCCCCCACCCAGTGCACCACTACCGTGCGTAGCTTATAGGAAGTTCCTCCTGCTGGCTAACCAGAGTCTTTCATGCTGAGCACATCTCGGCTTGTGAGCACATCAGCATTAAATAAGGCGTCAGCAGACCATAGCTGAAGGCCTGCGGGTGTGCGGACCAAGTTAAATGATGTTCCTCCCACCATCTCCTTAGAGCCCCTCTCCCTCCTTCAGAGAGGGACCCATGTCCTCAGGAAGAGGAAGTGAAATGGAAGCACAGAGGTATTACATGCCTTTGCCAAGGTCGCCCAGCTTGAAATGGGGCGGAGCCTGGAGTTAAACCCAAGCCTCTGATAGCACCCCACCCGTCCCCTCCCCCACCCCAGACCAGGTGTGTTTCTACCAAACAGAAGACACGGGAGATCGGGAGATCGAGAGCTGTTCTGCTATTTGTCCCCCTCCTTCAAAGGAGCGGCAGCCACAGGCTGCGCCATGCAAACCAGACATGACCGGACTCTGTGCTGGGCGTCTGTCTGGAGAAATGAGGCAGGGCGGAACTTCGGGTGTATGGCAGCCTCCTTCTGCCTTCCCCCTAGCACCCCCCCACCCCCCCACCCCCAATTTGCGTGAGCCCGAGAACAAGGAGCACCGCTCTCATCCAGGCTGGAAGAAGCAGGGTCACCCGGAAGGGTCAGGCGGGGCACAGATGGCCTTCTGAAGTTTGGTCTGTCCACCATGGTTCCTTTGCAGGGACAACGATTATGACAAGGAGCAGCCCCTATTGCCCCTGCTTCTTTTATGTCCTGAGCGGCTGCAGACGTAGCCCCCACCCCCAGAAGCAAAGGGAGATTCTAGTCTCTTCTCCCCTGGGGTCTTTTGAAGGCTGCCGTTCTTTCAAATTCCCCTCCTGGGCTATAATGTGTGGCCCCTGCTTTATACTCTGTACCCACTGAGCAAGGCACGGATAATCTGAGCCATTGCCCTTTGGCTTTTTTTTTTTTTTTTAAGATTTTTATTTACTTATGACAGAGAGAGATAGCAAGAGAGGGAACACAAGCAGGGAGAGCTGGAGAGGGAGAAGCAGGCTTCCCACTGAGCAGGGAGCCCGAAGCGGGGCTTGATCCCAGGACCCCAGGATCATGACCTGAGCCAAAGGCAGACACTTCATGACTGAGCCCACCAGGCGCCCCACCTTTTGGCTTTAGAGTTGGTTCTCAAACAGGGAGACAGGAGGAGCAGAACTAGCTCCCTGATGGGTTTGGCTCGGGTGAAATAGGAATTTGGGCTTGCCTTCATAGTCAGAGGCTGGGACGCCCTAGGGTAGAAGCTGCAGCTGACTCGATTTTAAAGCAATCCGAGTCCCCACAGGCTGCTGCAGAGGACAGAATCTCCCAGTGGCTGCTTGGGTACGTGTCACTTACAGCCATGACTCTCAGCCTTGGTTGGCTAAAAGTACTAATGTCAGGAGCCTGCCCCCCTCCAGCTTCACCTATGGCTCTGGCCTGGGACTCTGCATTTTATCCGACTTCCCAGCCAGTTCTGCCACCTAGCCAGGGGGACATGGAGGTGTGGTTATGGGACTGGGCCAGGGACCAGGGCCCTGAGGTTCTCGCCTGGAGCCCGGAGTCCACTGTGTTCCTCCTTGTTGCCTCTGCTTCTGCCCCCACCCCATACTGCCCACAGCTTCCACTGGACTCGAAACAGCAGGTACTTCAACATCGCCAAGGACCCTCGAGTGTCAATGAGGAGGCGGTCTGGGACCCTGGTGATCGACTTCCGCAGTGGGGGCCGGCCCGAGGAATATGAGGGGGAATACCAGTGCTTCGCCCGCAACAAATATGGCACGGCCCTGTCCAACAGGATCCGCCTGCAGGTGTCCAGTGAGTAGCTAGTGCACTTGCTAGCGTGCCTTGCTCCTCGGCGCATGGACGGGGGGGTGGGGGGGGTGGGCATGGAGGGTCATTCCGGAAGGGCCATCCCTGCCCTTGGCCGATGGGTGCCTTGGTGCTCTGCTCATCCTGCCTCCTGTTCTGCCTCCGAGCAGGAGCACACCTTGCCCTCCTCAAAAAGATTGCTTGGAAATGAGGCTTCTGAGCCAGAGTCTTGAACAACTTCACGAACATTCTGGGCACGGGAGGCGAGGAAGGAGAGGAGCCTTTGGAGAAGTGTATCTATTTAGACTGAAGTCCTCTCTTCTCTCGCTGCACCTGGCCTAGACTCACAGGCCCTCTCCACCCACTCCCTTGTTCTCCCGTTTGCCCTTCTGCTTTTCCTCTTTGTACCCCTGCCCCTAGCCGAGCTCCTTGTCCTGGCTCCCGCCATAACCCTCACTTCATGCTCCTTTGTCTGATTCCCCCCAGAGTCTCCCCTGTGGCCCAAGGAAAACCTAGACCCTGTCGTGGTTCAAGAAGGCGCTCCCTTGACGCTCCAGTGCAACCCCCCGCCCGGACTTCCTTCCCCAGTCATCTTCTGGATGAGCAGCTGTAAGTTTTGGAGGCCTTTGATTTTTTTTTTGGAGGCATTTGATTTCTACTTTTATCTTAGGAAGTGGGGTGGGTGTCTTACATGGGAGGGGCTTGCCCAAGGTTGGGAGACCTTGACTTATGAGAAGCAGGTGTAAAGGGACCACATGGCGGAAAACACATCAAGAGGCTGCTCAGGCCCATTTCCTAGCCCAGATACTATCGGCTGTGTGATCTTGAGCAAGTTGCTTAACAACCCTGGGCCTCAGTTTGCTCTTCTGGGGAAAAAAAAAATAGGGCTAGAACCTGTACTTATGTGGTCCATCATTTTAAGGATAAATGAGTTAATACATCCAAAGAACTTATAACACAACCAGACACACACTAAGTGCTGAGTAGTATTTGTGAAGATGAAGGAGAACAAGAACAAAGGAAAGAGGAGGAAGAGGAGAAACTGTCAATAAGCCAACTCAGGCGGGTTGGCCCCAAGCCTCCTTTCAGTCTTTAGTCAGTCTGGATTTACTGAGGACAGGGAGGCCACAGGAATGAAACCTTTGATAAAGGAGTGACAGGGAGACAGGACATTTGTAGCAGGGGCAGTGTATCATCCCTGAGAGCTTGTCCCATTTCATTTTGCACTGAGATTCATTTAACCACTGTGGACCTCAGTTTCTTCCCATGCTTTGAATCACAGTAAGTGGGGGCATGCTATAAAGGTGTTTAGAGCATTGCTGGCTATCTGTCTTCCTGGCTTCCCCTCCCCATCCTCCATACCTGCCCACCCACCCACCCCCAATGCCTTCTATCCATCCATCCATTGGTCAGTCTATAGATCTGCCTGCCTGCTTAGCATCCATCATCCATCCATCCATCCCCGAGTTTTTACCAGCTTGCTTCTGGAAAAAGCAGGGTAGTGAGCCGTTTGGCAGAGAGAGTATGGATTCGTGCTCACCCGTTGTCTCACTCTGTGTCATCTCAGTGCATGTGCGTGGGGAACGCTGCCTGGCCACAGGCTGGAGGGCCGGTTGGTTTGCTAACTGGTTCAGAGTCTCTCGTTCCCTGCATCACACCTGTCACCAGCTTATGTCCATAAGTAGATCCTGAGTGGATCTCATGACCCTCATCTTCCCATCATCACTGGCATCTGCCCAATGCAGGCCACCATCAGCTTTTCCCTGGGTGCCAGTAACCAGGAACTATAACTGGCCTCCCTGGTCTTTCTAAAAACATAAATCTGATCGTTTCATTCATATGCTCCCGCCCTTTACTGGCTCCTCCATCACCTTGGACCAAGTCCAAACTTATCTCCCTTCCTGATCTAGTTCCCTCTGCCTCTCGAGCCTTTCTCCTACCCCCTTTCCCTGCTGTGTGCTCTTAATTTTTAGCACACACTGTTCTTACTGCTTGGAAACCTCTTTGGGCCCCTGTCTCTTCTGCCCGGTGTCACGGAGCCTCCAAGGTGGAGCTCAGGGCCCCCTGGCAGGGACTCAGGGCTCCTCTGCTCAGCCCATCCCCTTTCTTATCCGGGCTCCCCACTCGCCACACTGCACAGCAGTGATTTCTTTATCTCCTCCCTCTTCTAGGCTGCAAGCTCCCTGAGGGCAGGAGCTATCTACCTACAGTCTCTTTCACCAATCGTGGGCACAGTGCCTGGCACACAGTAGGCCTGCAGTCAATTTTGGATAATAAGTCATTTAAAGAACTGACCATCCCATTGTTGGAAAGTTGACATCATTAACCTTGCGCTTTCAGAAATGATGACTTACATGATCCCAGGGTCCTGGGATCGAGCCCCACATCGGGCTCTCTGCTTGGCGGGGAGCCTGCTTCCACCTCTCTCTCTGCCTACTTGTGATCTCTGCCTGTCAAATAAGTAATAAATAAAATCTTTAAAAAAAAGAAAGAAAAGAAACGATGACTTAATAAAAGGTCGTGGGAGGCTGAGAAGGCATTAGCTGTGAATCATCAGCCTGACAAATATGCTTTCACAAACTGAGTAACCGGCAGACCCAGTCATTTGAATTGACACCTATTGCTTCAACAGTCATGGACAATGTAGTCCACTTCCTCAGCCACTCCTGTGACATCATTGATTCTAAAAAGCACCATTTTCATCTTTTAACATCTCCAAAATTAGAAAGCATCCTAGAATCATTGATTAGTAGTAGGTATCTTGCAATTGTAATTGGCAGTGATTTTCTCTTTCCTGGTGGGAGTGAGAGCTTTAAAAAAAAGAAAACAAGTGAACTTGACTCCTGATTTGGGAAGCACCTGAAAGATAGCATTTCCTCCCTCTGGTTCGGGGCCAGTCAGAGCTTTTGCGGCGTGGACGGGAGCTAGAAAAGTCTGGTCGTGGACCATGAGTGTGGCAGGCAGACGTCTTCCCTCACTGCTTTCACAACCCAGGAGGTGTGAAATCCACTGCTTTCTTATCTGTGAACTGGAAAGAAGCCCCCCTCAGAGTTGAGAGGACGAGAGGGAATCACGTTGAACTCCCAGCACCACCCGACACTCTGTCGGCGCTCCATCGCCAGACCGATCGCGACGGTCACTCCTGTTACCATGACCACTCACCTCTGTCCGTACCTCTGCTCCCTTCCAGCCATGGAGCCCATCACCCAAGACAAGCGTGTCTCCCAGGGCCACAACGGCGACCTGTATTTCTCTAACGTGATGCTCCAGGACATGCAGACGGACTACAGCTGCAACGCACGTTTCCACTTCACCCACACCATCCAGCAGAAGAACGCCTTCACCCTCAAGGTCCTCACCAGTAAGTGCAGGTCCCTGCCCGGGGCCGGGAGCCGGGGCGGAAACCCTCGGACCCCGAAGAGCCCCGGGTACCTGGGTCTGGGGGCAGCCTTGTCCCCAAGGCTGACCCAGAAACCCCTCCAGCATGGGGTGCCTGAGTTGTGTCCGTGACTCTGAAACCAACTTGCTTGATTCTGAAGCCTTGAGTTAAACTTGGTCCTGCTCTGAGTCAGTGCTTCTCAAGCTGCAGGCTCAGTCCGAATCACCAGGCCAACGGGGCAGCCGTCCCCGGCCCGGCCTGAGCCTGCCTCCACAGTCCCGGCCTCCGTGTCCTCCATTAGCTCTCCAGGTGCTCGGGACCCACAGCAGCTTCCAAGGAGCCCTGTTTTCAGTGGCCGTCCAACATCTCTCCCATGCCTCAGCTTGAGGATTTCTTTTCTAGCTAGTCCCCGTTTGGTGGTCTGGACTTCTAGAAACAGAGCCACAATACAGAATTTCCGCATTGGCTGGGACCCCAGCATGAAATGTGTTCGATGCCGGACCCCATGGGACGACTCCATTTGCAAGCTGCAGATTAATGTTCTAGTTTTACTTGTTTTCATTTTTATTTCTGGATTCTGTTTGGCTGGTACCGAAGCGGGTCAGCCATGCCTGACCCGGGATAGCTTGGGGGTCGGTGGCCCCCCGCAGAGGAGAGAACCGAGTAGTCAGCTCCCAGACGCGCATCTTGCCAGGGACCCGCTGGCCTGGCTCTCCGGCTGCCCATCCTCCGCCTTCCAGGACGTTGCATTCCAAGTGGCTGTGTTCGTTTGCACCGCGGATGTGTAACAGGCCTTCTCTTGAGGAGCCCCCTCACCCCCCAAAGACCTTGGTCTGTGTGACTCAGCTGTGGAGGCTGTTTTCCATACTGGGGACAGTGGTACTTGTGGGGGAAGCCAAGCAAAGGGCACCATGTGGGCGCTGACAGCTGCCCCAGGTCGCAGAAGAGAACCTGAACCTCAGGTTCTCCGCGCCCACACGCCTCTCGGGGAAAGGTGGGGAGAGTCTAGGGGACCTTGCTCCTTGCTCAGGACGGCCGGGGGCCTGGTCTTCTTTCCTCAGCTGCCCCCGCCAGTAATGGAAGCAGGTGCCTAGAACCCCAGCTCCACACCCCGTCTCTACCCGGCACGGAGGTGGGCCCCCAAGAAGCAGCTTCCTTCTTGTTCCCCTTATCCTGTGTGGGAGTTCTTTCTCTCCTTCTCATTGTCTTCTCTTTGTTTTCTCACTTCCTTCCTCTCTGTTTCCCTCCTGCCTTCTTCCTTTCTTCTTTCCACCCCTCGTTTTCTCCCTCTCAGAACCCCGTCCACCCCCCTCTAGCACCCCCACTCCTGCAGCTCCCCACACACTGTTCTGTGTTGGAGTCGGGCTGCCCACAATTTGCTAACCGACAGGATGGCCGGAAACCTGGGGACGAGCCCCCACGTGCTCCCAGCAGCAGAGCCCGGCCCAGTCTACTTGGCTGCCCCCTCGCTGGCCCTCTTATTCCAGACCAAGACCTAGAGGGGACCCCTGGGGAAGAAAGTTGGGTTGCCTGAAGCGTCTCAGTGCACGTCAGGAGCAATTGCTGGCCAGTTGGCTGGGTCGTGGAGGACAGTGCGGTGCGCCTGGGACCTCTGAGTGGGCTCCGGGGCCAGGACAGGGCTGGCAGCATGGGGAGGGGAAGGCGGCAGGAGCATTGAGCAAGATGCTGGATGCTGGACGGTCCTTGGTGCCGTCCCCTGGCTTCCTCTCTGCCTGCCCAGTGTGAGGCTTATAGTCAGACTCCTTTCTGGGGACTGAGCCAGGTGACCTTCTGCGGTCCTGGGCAGAGGCCCTCAAGGTCACCCAGGATAGAGGCGGGGGAGTTGAAGGTGGTAAAGAGCCTTCCTCTGTGGAATTAGGCAGATTTTCAGCATTTAGAAGTCGGGTTTTCCAGAAACATCCTTATCTCTACCTGCAGAGGTAAGGGCTGTTTATTTCTGCTTCATTTCTGGGTGCCCTACTCCACTGAAAACTCTTTCCTACAAATGCCAAGACACCCCCCCACCCCGCCCCAGGTGATGGGAATAGAGCCCTGTCTGCTTCCTGGAGTTCTCGCAGGGGTAGCTTTGGCCGGGAGCAAGTTCTGGGCATCTGAGCCAGCCCAGAATTGGGTACAGTTGCTTAAAATAGCACAGTTGTGCTCTGTCTGCTTTCCCGCCTGGAGAGGACACAGGCTCTTTCTTATACCTTCAGAACCGGGTCTGGGGGTGGGAGGCAGAATAGCCAAGCTTGGCAGGCTTCAATGTCCCTCCTCACCTCGGGTTTCCATCACGGTCTGGCCCTTGGGGGAAGATGCCAGTCTCAGCGTGGCTGATGGTGCCTTACCTACATATAAGGAATGGCAGAGGGGAAGGTATCTAACACAAAACATTGGACGGTCTGAAACCATTTTTAAAATTTGTTTTGGGTGCAATCAAAGACAGTGGAGGTGATGTGCCCGCCCCGCTTTGCCCGCCCCAGAGCAGGTCTCTTTGGTGACCGTGGTGAGGGAGAAGGGGTCTCCTGAGGCAGACCGTGGAGCACTAATCCTGCTTCCTCCTAATGTCTGCTGTCTAAGTAGCACTCTCAGGAGTCAGAAAATCTCCCTGGATTGCCCAGATGAGCTGCAGAATCCACAGACCGTGAGATCAGTTACAAGCTTGGGTCACTTCTCTGGAAAGAGAGGAGTTCTGTTTCCCTCGGTGGCATGGGAGCTTAGGAGCATGAAGCCAGGGTCTTTTTAGCTGTGTGCCCCTATCCTGCCCCCAGAGAAGAATGTCCCTTCTTGAGTACATCCTCAGCCCCTCTTCTCTTCTGCGCCCCCTGCCTCTCCACGCCACTGCCCCGAACAAACCCAAGCTGACTTCCCACACAGGCTCCGTCTTGCAAGACACGCCATCTTAAGGGATGGTTTTCAATAACGCAAGTCTCCCTAGCGGGCTTTAAGCACATTTGGGAAGCCCTGCGATATGGGTCCCAGCAAAGAGGGCGCACAGCCTCGGCAATCAGTTATAAGGGGAGCTGATCTGTCTTCAAATATGCAAATACTCTGGCACAGTGCCTCGCCTCCCTCAGGCACTTGCTTGGACTGGGTCCGGCTTCTCAGGGCCGTCTGCTTGGCTTCCAGTCCACTGTACCGCCCCCCACCCCCTGTGGGTACCGTCAAAACTTGAACTCAGTAGCTGGATGGGGATGACGGTAGAAGAATGAAAAGCTGAGCTTGGCAGGCTTAAGTGCCCTATTCCAAAACCTCTTTCACTGAAGATTAAACGCCCAGCAGTCTTAATTACCTGATATTGGCACCAAAGGCACCGGTCTGCTCCCTAAGGAATGACTTCAGCCCAAGCCAGTCTAGGAGCTCTGCATCTCCAGCTTCGTCCGTGGTCCCTTCCCATCCAAGTGTAGAATGCTGAGCCCATACATTCTCTCTCTCCCGTCCCAGGCAGGGTCCCCTTCTGTTCTGAAAATCTGACCCACAGTCTGGCCCTGTCTGCCTCCCTAGAACATTCCAGGACTCCTTGGGAGGAGGGCTTTCTGCCACCAGAGACATCTCAGAGACCAGGGTGGTGCCCAGTGCTCAGGTGGGGAGGGGTGCTTGCTGCTGGTCAGCGCACGATTGCTGGGCGCTGCCAAGGGTCCGTCTGTCCCTGTGTCTCAGCTGCTGAACTGTATCTCTTTGTCTGCCTGCTCTCACTGACCTCCCACCTTTGCACCTTAGCTTCCGCCCAGGGAGGGCTTTGCTCTTTCCCTCAGGGCTCACTCACACTCCTTTCTCTTTAGCTGCCCCGGGAGCTGGCCCGATCCAGAGTCCTGGGAACTGAGGATTCTGATGGGAAGTTGTTCAAAAGACGGCTACGGGATACCATTAATCCTTACCTCATTTGTTTGAAATACAGTAGGATCAAGCCATTACAGGTCAAGCCTAATTTCTTTCATTAAAAAGAAGATTTTTTTTTTATTATTGCCTTCTTTTGCAGGATTTAACCTTTTCTTCTCTTTTTTGGGGCTGTTTTATGTTGCTTGTTTTTCACCAAGCATATTTCCTTTCCAAATACGCCGTGTCTTTCCTTTGCAAAATCCCCAGTTGTTTTCTGCAGCTTCGCGTTTCTGTTGTTCTCTCCCTGTTTATGCCTCCGTGAGCTCTCCGTGGCCTGTTTGCTCACCCTCTTCTGTTTATTTCAGACAACCCCTATAATGACTCGTCCTTAAGAAACCACCCTGACATGTATAGTGGTGAGTCGCCGCGGTAACCTTGGGAGTAACCTTGCCTGTCCTAACCCCAGTTTGCCTAACTCGACTGATCCCGTGTCATTAACCCACGCTGGGTGGAGGGGCTGACAGTCCGCCACGCCAGGGTGCCAAGGGGCCCCCTTCCGGACACCACTCTCCGGGAGGACGGTGGCCAGTGTGGGAGTCTGAGGTAGCTCACGAAGGGCTGTGGCTTCTGGGAATGCGTAAGCTGCCCAGGGCTGAAATCTGGATCAGGTTGGCCGGACCAGGGTAGGACTCCACAAGAGCTTCTTGGAAGGTTCTGTGTTGGGTGGAGGGAGCATGTCGGAGGAGAGGGGAGTCTGCACAGTGAGGAGGGAACAGGGAATTTGGTGCCTGTTAGCGGCTTAAAGGATGCAGAAAGCTTTGTGATACAGTGTCTGGATGTGATTTGCCTGCCTTGCAATCTAGCCTTAGTTACTGGGGGCACCATTTCACCCCATGTCTCTTTAAAAATCCCTCTGGGAAAAATGAGCGAGAGTCCAGCTCTGAGTTCTCTTTGAAGGTAAGTATAAAAGGAGGTGGGCCATGCCTGGCCTCTGTTCCCTGGGCTGCTTCTGTCCTCCGGCAGCGTGTGCAACTCCAGGGCCCACCAGTCCGCACACTTGCATGTCCCGGAAGAGTTTCCGTGAGGCGTATTTCTAACTCATCCCACAACTGGTTGCTCAAGCTGATTAGTAGAGTAATTGGCTATTTCCACACCTGAGCCCTCCC